GATATCTTCCACACATCCGAAATAGAGTGCAAGATTGGCAATTTAGTCTTTCTTTTCATTCAAGTTTCTAATGGATTTTTCTAACATAACCCTACTTACTACAGAGGAAATACTGGATATCATTGACTCCTAACTCATAAAGACAGCACACTAAATCGAATAACTGGATCAGGACACTTCTTCTACTTAGGTTGCAACTGAGAGGGTATCCACTCCACTACAACTTCCAATCCTAACACCTCTTTCTGTCAATCCATTGATGAATACTCACAATCAAACGGAGTCTCATGAGTCATTATTTTATCATATGGATGAGTCAATAGGTTATAGGTCTTCAGTGTAAAACCACTGTATTAGACTTGAGGGAGGAGTTACAAGTGGTATACACAAACATGGAGACTTTTTGGGTCCAATTCATTAATATGGAGGCTCTCTAGTATAATTTTGTAGATATGGAAGTTCTCCAGGCCCATGTCGTAGATATGAAACCTGTCCTGGAACTAGTCATAGAGGTGGACGTTCTTCAGACCCAAGCTGCAAAGATGGAGGTTTGTCAGGCCCAAGCCTTAGGTGTGGAGGTTCTCTGGGCTGGGGTGGTGAGATTAATGGGTGAACTGGCTGAATTTTAGGCCATCAGTTTGATTTCTCATGTACGCACTGAATAAGAAAAGATAAAACCTTATTCAGTGCGTACATGAGAATAACTTATCCTAAAGGAGTTATAGAAGATGTATTAGTGAAAATGGATAAATTTATTTTTTCTGTAGACTTTATTGTATTAGATATGGAAGAAGATAAAGAGATTCTTATTATTTTGGGGAGACCATTTCTTTTCCATGCAACAAGGAGAGCTGTGATAGATGTGCAAAAAGGAGAATTAATAATGAGAGTCTATGATAAAGAAGTAACATTTAATATAGCAAAAGCTATGAAATATCCTGCAATAGAAAAAGATAATGAATGTTTTAGAATTGAAGTTACAGATTATCTAAGTAATGAGCAATTTAAGGGAATGTTTGAAGAAAATTTAAGGCAAGAAGAGTATTTTGAGAATAAGAATGAAATAAAAGAAGATAATTTAGATTATGTTTAGGAAAAATTTGAAACCTTAGACCTTTTAGAAAATGATAATAAAAATATTTTTCCTTCAAGTATTAAACCACCTGAACTTGAACTGAAAGTGTTACCTGTCCATTTAAAATTTGTGTTTCTAGGAGATTCATCTACATTGCCTGTTATTATATCTTCTGATTTAACTGAAATTAAAGAACAAAAATTAATAAAAATGTTGAAAAAATATAAAAAGGCCTTTGGATGGACTTTAACAGATATTAAAGGAATTAGTCCTTCAATTTGTACGCGAAGAATTCTATTAGATGAACAATATGAAACTAAAGCCAATCCTTAGAGGAGATTAAACCCAATAATGAAAGTTGTTAAATTTTTTTTTAATGGTTAGATGCTGGAATTATATATCCTATTTCAGACAGTGCTTGGGTAAGTCTGATTCACTATGTTCCAAAGAAAGGAGGAGTGACAGTTGAATTAAATGAGAAAAATGAATTAATTCCAATAGGACAAGTTACTGGTTGGCAAATTTGTATAGAGTATAGAAAATTAAACATGGCCACCAGGAATGATCATTTTTTTACCCTTTCTAGACCAAATGTTGGATAGATTGGCTGGAAACAAATATTACTATATTCTAGATGGATATACTTGATATCACCAATTCCGATTACTCCTAAGGATCAAGAGAAAACAACATTTACAATCCCTTATGGAACACTTGTTTTTCGTAGAATGTCTTTTGTACTATGTAACGCACCTGCTACATTTCAAAAATGCATGATGTTAATTTTTAGTAATTTAATTGAACGTGAAATGGAAGTATTTATGGATGATTTTTTTGTATTCGGAACTTCATTTGAATTATGTTTAAATAATTTAGAAAAAGTTCTGAAATTATGTGAGAAAATCAACTTAGTACTAAATTAGGAAAAATGTCAATTACTGGTTGCAGGAGGATTTGTACTTGGGCATAAAATTTCTAAAATTGGCATGGAAGTATATCAAAAAAAATTCAAGTTATTGAGAAATTACCACCTCCTACTACAGTTAGAAGTTGTTCAAGAGGGGGAGATTGAATATTGTGTTGTATGATGGTGGAACGTTGATCCCTAAGAAATCTTCCATAATAGTAAATCGATTGTCACCTTCTCCCCATGTGACTGAGAGTGCTATAATACTGAGTGCCTCCTTCCATTACTAGAGAATCTTTACAATGAGCTAGCTAGTGTAGTTAACCGGTTGGCTATTAAATTCATCTTCTTGAATGTGTTCCATAACAAAATATTCCCCGAGCTTCTAGTATCAACCAAGATACTCCCCATCTTGTAGTTAATAATGAGTGTTGTAACAACAATGACATCATTATAGGGATTTTCGGATAATGGAAGATCAACATCAGTGAAAATGATTGGGGGATGGAGTTTTTTTTTGGAACAACTGTCACAACAAAATTGTTTTTGATCGACTCCTTTTTCAATCGATCCTAGCATATGAAATGCCTCTCAATATCGCGGGTACAGTCCTTGTTATATGAATAGTGTTGGCTCAGGTAGGCTTGTCTGGTTCATTACCTGCTGAAGCCTTGCCCTTGCGCCGAGTGTGGGCCTCAGGGGCTACAAACTCATTGATTTCCCAGCTTACATTAACTCCTCCACTAGGCTACAAAGGTGACTGCGCTCTTTAGTTTCATGCCCATGGTCTTGATGAAATTTAGAGTATTTGTTAGGATTCCAAATCGAAGCTCAGACTCTCAATGTATTTTCTCTTTTAGAAATACTCCTCATCTTTTATTGTGTCTATGAGCTTCACCAATGAAACTGACAACAGTGTATGTCTAGATGTCCTCCTGTATTCTATAGACCAGTCTTTCGATTAGTTGCATTTGCGTCCGTCTCATTCTTCTTCTTTGTCCATTCGGGATGATCAACATTTCTCGTGTTTAAGATGCAGGCCATCTTTTCTTCTCTATCCATCATTCTTTGAGCCATTCTAGCCCAAGTATTAATCTGATTTCTCGCCTTTAGAAATCAGCTGGTTCATATACTCCTTAGCTGCAATGTGATCGTTGGCTCTCCAAAAGTTTAGCCAATATCTCGGGTTTCTATAAACCCATGAAGTATTGGAATTGTGTACTTTTTAGTCCTTGCCCTAGGATTTCCTTCGTAATGATCCGCTCTAGGTTTTCTACCTTAAGCATCTCCATCTAGAACCTTGTATTGTATGCATAACCTCTTGTTCGGTACTTGATTCACATAACACAAAGAATTTGAGTCTTTTTATGATTATTGGGTGCTAGCGACCTGCACCAAAAATAACATCCAAAAATCTCTAAAGGAAATTATAATTCCTACAAGAAGTCCATTGAACCACCTGAAAGCAAAATCTCTCAATGTAGTGTAGAACAACTGACATTTTAATGCGACAAAGATCTTGAGAAGGTAGATTGACAACATGAAGGACACATTATGGTCGGCAAAGTCTCTTCGACGCTTATACATTTCCAAAGAGGTAACTTTAAACTTTTCAAATGGCTTAGCTTTCACAATATGTCGGGTGAACACAACCTCGATCCGAAACATCCTCGATCCAAAAATAGACTTCTATCTCTTCTGGTTACGGTCATCTCTTCGATGCTGATCTGACACTAATTTAGTACTAGTATTCTTCCACTCGCACTGCGGCTTAGGCCGATTGTTGAGCTTGGGGGTAGGTCGAGTGTTGGTAGACTGGTTGCAAGAGAAGTTGTGCCCTACCCTCGAGCACTACCTCAAGCCAGCTCCATGATTTGATTGTCATCTGATCATGGAGCCCTTGGATTGTTGCTGCACAAATTCTCAAATGGACTACACATTGGATGTTGCTACTTGATGTGTTCCTTTGACTTGACGCGCTCCTTGTCTTGTTGAAGGTATGACTCCACGCTCATAACACCTTTTAGGATGTTAGATTCTAAATTGTCTTATGATCACACAAATGGAATAGAGCGTCGGTCAAATGAAAAAAAGAGAAATAAGACACAAGTAATACTTAGTTTTTTGAAACTTTTTGTGGGGTCCCCTCTCAGTGAAAATGATCTTTCTATGTATAACTCTTCATTAAGGTATTACAATTTACATGATTGTCCCTCAATTTAATGGGAACATTATTACAATTATAATCCATTACATCTTTAAATATCAGTAACTGAAAAGGATATATTTTAGCCCTGTAACCGTCGTTGGCTTCATTCTACATCTGTAAATGCTCCTAACACTGTTTTACACTCATAACAGATATTTTTTGTTCATTTGATCTACTCATGATCTCTCGAATGACTGAACAGTCTTCGCTCGATTGAACGATCTTCAATCGAACGTTGACATTTTGTAATAGCAGGCACTGGGTGAAAAAATATTGCGTAGTCATGAGATGTACGCTCGGTTGGTGAATATCCTTCGGTCGGCTCCATGGTCCGACCGATTTTATGGTGAACGTCCGAACTTGAACCTTCCTCAAGTGATCCTGTGTCTTCTCGAGGTTTGTACAGGCATGGTGCTGATATTCAGAGCATCAATTCTTCAAAGGATTTCACGAAGTTTCTAACTATGCCTTCAAGCTCCTAGTTTTGATAAATTTTGAGTCAGGTCCAAGAATTCTTATTATCATTGGGGTTGTTCATTTCAATTTTATTTTAACTATTAAATTTGCTAAAAATGGACTGCCAACTATTTTGAGGTCTAAATCCAAAATTTTTAGAGTGCTTTGAGATCTACAAGTTTGCATCAAGATTAGTGTTGAATCATATGAATTATTTTGTGATGTATTATATATAATTTATCAAATTATTTAAATATATTTCAATGTTCAATTGTTATAATTTAATACATTTAAAATATTGCTTATTTTTATCAAATTTAATTTACTGCTAATAATACTGAAAATTATGATAGGGAACTGTGAAAAATTGGATCGCATGCGACCTCAAGTTGAAGAAGGTTTACATGGAGAACATTGACAGCATTTTGCCTTATCTCCATAGTCTGCTAACTCGAGGATACAGGGCTTTGGTCTACAGGTGAGTCAAGCAAGGCTTCTAAACCTATCATGCAAGTTCAATTTCTACGGATTTACATATAAACTCAAGGCTTGATTAACTCTTAACTAAAGATTAATACGATTTTTAAGCTAATTAACTCTTAATCTACTGATTTTTTTTATATGGGGTTATTTTAATCATATAGTTTATAAAATTGTTAAATTAGTCTTAACAAAACTATATAATATGATATTTGTATTTAAAAAACAAGTAATTAAGAGGCCTAAATAAATATAATTAGTGCATAATCATTTTTTCAAACCATAATGTGTCTTCTAAACCTTCTAAACCTATCATGCAAGTTCAATTTCTACGGATTTACATATAAACTCGAGGCTTGATTAACTCTTAACTAAAGATTAATACAATTTTGAAGCTAATTAACTCTTAATCTACAGATTTTTTATAGTTTATGAAATTGTTAAATTAGTCGGCAGATTTTTAAGCTAATTAATTCTTAACAAAACTATATAATATGATATTTCTATTTAAAAAACAAGTAATTAAGAGGCCTAAATAAAAAGGCTTGATTAACTCTTAACTAAAGATTAATACGATTTTTAAGCTAATTAACTCTTAATCTACTGATTTTTTTTATATGGGGTTATTTTAATCATATAGTTTATAAAATTGTTAAATTAGTCTTAACAAAACTATATAATATGATATTTGTATTTAAAAAACAAGTAATTAAGAGGCCTAAATAAATATAATTAGTGCATAATCATTTTTTCAAACCATAATGTGTCTTCTAAACCTTCTAAACCTATCATGCAAGTTCAATTTCTACGGATTTACAGTTTTCAAACCATAATGTGTTTCAATCAGTGGGGATCATGACCTTCATATTCCGAGCAAGGGCACAATAGCTTGGATAGAATCTCTTAATTTCAAAGTCACCGAGGCTTGGAGATCATGGAAAATAAACGGCCAAGTTGGAGGGTAAGTTGTTTTATTTCATTCAATTACAATTTCTTAAGTTTTCATGCCAAGATTTGTTAATTCTAACACGAAAACAATTCATTTTTTTCGTGTAGATACACCGTGCTTTACTCGAACAATCTAACATTTGCTACAGTGAAGGTAAGAAATTTTCTTTTTTTCTGAATTATTTATAGATTTATTAAAAGTTATACTATATATTAAGGGGATTTAGATACATACCACACAATTGTTATGTATTTACATATCTAACATCTAAATTTTAACATTTAATCATATAACACTTTATGTTTTAGCATCTCATCAAAGTTCTACTTAACTTTTTTGAAGGGACTATGTACTAGCTATGCTTTAATGTGCTTGCAGGGTGGAGGACATGAGGCTGCACAAGACAAACAAAAGGAATGTTGGACTATGTTGAAGAGGTGGATTTCTTATGAGCCTCTCTAGAGGGGATTTATTTATTGGATGAAGCATAAGATTGATAGATTTTAGCTACACTTTTGGGGCTTTTTATTGTATGAAAACTAATTTTATTATGACTAAGATATTCATCTAGTGAAAAAATAACTTTTTAGCAACAATGCATTTGGATGTGTGGTATTTGCATGCAAAAAACATATGTTCTTAATGTTATTTGACAATTTGTATTTGGTTGATAAATATTAAATTAAATTATATGTGAACTTCAAAATATTTATAAGCGCCTTAGAGAAAAAAAAATTTGAAGTCTAAACTTTCTTAGATCGGTTGCATTCTTATCCCTACATGTTCAATGTGGTTTAAATGCCCACTATGAGATCATATTGCTCTAACCATCATCATCTTCATATGGGTTGCACACCTAAACAACCGTTAATACAAGCGGCTCTATTCTTATTATAGGGCAATTAAGATGCCTTGATAAGCCGTCATTTTCGAAAGCAAAGGTAAATTTTAATCAAGAAAATAAAAATTACAAAATTAACGAGCTCCTCAGTGTTAGAAAAAAAGTTTCACATGTATCTGTGAAAGGGGGATCAAATCAAGCCTATTTAAATAAAATGGGGAACTGTAACTACAAAATAAAAATACTTGAAAGAAGATAAAATCACTTACATAAAGACAACAACAATAATTTAGCTTGACATTCACATAGGCCGCTACCTTCAAAATATCTAATTGGATCTCTTGTGAAGTAAGAAGACTTCATACAAAGTATATTTATATTTCTTCCATGACTATTCAAAATAGGTTTGAAATAGACTTAATTATCAATAAGAGATTGATCTTCTAATTATTGCATATAAAATGAGAAAATGTTTAAGAAATAGGTACAAAATTTTCAAGTTGTATGTGATTACTAATTGAGAGAGGAGAAAGGAGGAAAATTTACTTGTAATAGAAAGTTCTTATAAATCTCAGGATGACATTTGAGATATGAATCACAAGAGCTAGTTTCATTGGTGGAGCAATTACTACCATTTGATCCCTGCAAATAGCAGAAACTAATGAAATTAGATTGGCATGCTCTTTTCTAGCTCGAATAAGCAATTTATCATAATTATATTGGTCATAAGTAGTGTTAAACCTTGATAATCAATAGAATAGGTGACTAAATTTGAAAAAGACTAGGAAATAAAGAAAAATATGGGAGTGCTGCCATAGTTTTGATGGGACCACCAGTGTACGATTCCGAATAATTCTGATTGAGATGTTAAGAAGGTTAGGATTGCCAATGCTCAAATTTTAACTTTGTGATAAAAAACTATCAAGGTCAAAGAGATATCAATGAGAATAAAAATTATGAATTTTAACTATCATAATTTTTCTTGTAATTATATTTTCTTAAATAATCTAAATAATGTTTAAAATTGCTAAGTAATTTCAACCTTAATAAGTATCATAGAAATTTATTGTCTAGAGCATGTTGTAAAGTGTTGACCTCATTTTCCATGAGGACTTTCTTTCTCTTTTTGTCTCTAAAACTTAAGCTTTAGCCTTAGCTTTTAGGAGTAGCTTTTCCTAAGGAACTAGTGATGGGACAAATGCAAATTAGAATTTGAAACATCCCTTAAGTCCAAAATGTTTCATGCATTTGACCATAAATCCTCAACCTTTGGTTGAGTTGATTGAGCCTAAGTTATTGAAGCTTAGGTTGAGTTCCTATAGGTCTGAAATGTCGCAAGCAATTTTTCAACCTTAGAGACTTAGACCTTCTACTTAGTCTTTCTTTTGGGCATTTCATACTTCATTCACCATTTCTTGGATAACACTTTTCTTAGTTTATAGAAAACTCATTTGAATATGATGTTCACATTGAGCAAAGAAAGGGAGCTTATCTCTTAATAAAATAGAAAGATGAATAAAATTACAAAAAATTTTTAAAAAAATCACTAAAATGACAAAATTTTAAATAATTAAAATCAAAATCATTAAAAAAATTTTAACATCCCAATCAAAATTCTAAATAAAGTTTTCAAAAGTAATAAAAAAATTAAAATTAAAAAATCAAAAAAATATTAAAATAATTTCAAAAGAAAATAGAATCCAAAACAAAATAATAAAGCTTGAAAAATAAAAAGATTTATCAAATTTCATAAACTAAACAAACTAATGAATCTTTTTTAAAAATAATACAATGAATAATTTTGCCAACAAAATTTAATTTGAAAAAGGAAATAATAATAAAATATAATCCTTCAGAAATAATTCAAAAGCACTACACAAAAAACCTTAATTTTCCAATCATCATAATGTTTAAAATAAAATTAATGAAACCAAAATTTTCACTCTCCTACATACCTGTACATTTTCTGCAGCATTCCAAACCAAGAAGTCCCTACTTAAGCCTTTTGATTGGACACAATCTCATGTCAAATCTCACCTAAAATTGGCCTTAAGACCATGATGTCATTTCAAGCTACCATTTCAAACTTCCTTGGCTCATTTCCAAACCTAAAATCCCTTTGAAATTTTAAAAGCCTAAGAAAGCCAATTATTTGTCATTTTATGAACCTAAAAATATCCAAATTAAAGCCCTTGGTGAGCCATTTCCAAGCCACTCAAGAGCACATCCATGAACACCAATTTATGAATAAGCACCTCCACACATGTCAAAATCCTATTGGCTTATCCCCCGATAGTTCTTAACAAATATGACCACCTTTGAGTTAGCATGCATCCAACCCAACCCGCATAGCTTGTTTTAGAGGCCACTCAACTCTCAATGTACACATGATACTCTTGACATGCATCAATTTTACATGGTTTTACTGGCATTTTATCCTAAAATTACCTGCTATTTTTACTTATTTTACATAGATTTAAACTTGAGAAAGGTCTTTCTTGATGATGCATATGATACATGTGTCAAATATGAGCAATCTGGAATGAGAAAAACCAACAAAAAAGTGGCCTAAAGCGGCATGACCAAGCCTAGAAGCGGGGTGACCGTGTGACATGTTCAAGAGTGGCAGTGTGACCAAGTCAGAACCTGGTGTGACCACACCATCCTTATAGAAATTCATCGTGACAAGTTAGAGATTAGGCATGACCAGCCCCACTTGATTTAGATGTCCAGTGTGACCACGGAAGGTTTCCACATGACCACGCAGACAAGTGGAAATCATTTTTGGAAAGAAAATTGCTTGCAAAATTCATTTTTTTATTATATAAAAATGATTCTTAGGGCTTCTTAAGGAGGAAAGGAGAGTTTTAGAATGGCTAGATACAAAGATTTGGAGAGATTCTTTAGTGTTTCCCTTAGGTTTTCTTACTTTGTCGGTTGAAACCTTTAGGATGACTTCCACCTTGTATTCTTGAGATTTTGAAGGAGAGTTGCTGATGTTGTGGAGGAGATAAATTGATTTTAATTTTAACATGTCTTTTTTTTGTTGCAATGATATTCTGCATAATTATTTTTGCTATAGTTTTCATGATGATGTGTGGCTAAGTTCTTCTTCGTTCCTCTGTGATGTAGGGGTAGTGATTTTATCATTATTTCTTGACATGTTTTTCTTGTTGCATTTTCCAGACTTTCATGGTTTATGTTGTTGGTGAATCTCTGAGTTTCATTTACTTTATGTCTAGCCAACATTAATGCTAAAATCTTTCATGATGCTATGACCTCTAACCAATATGCAGCAGAAAAGAAAGTGTTAACCACAAAATTCTGAGAGGATGACATGTTTCAGTGGGATTCTGCAAACTTTTCTGGAAATCAAATATTTCTGTGGAATGGCATGGGGATTGAGAAGCCTCAACTTCATGTATTTTAATCTTCTTTTAAACTAGTCATTGACATGAGAGGAACTTATATTCTCGATTGACAACTATCACATAGAAAAACATTTAGGATCACCATGATCCTCAAATCATAGAGATACAAGCCTCAACATTGTTGAAGAATCCTAAGATTTTCTCCATATTCTGTGTTTTATACTATATGCTATATTATGATTTTAAATTCCCCTTTTGAGTTCACTCCAAGAAAGGTTCAAAGGATTAGTATACTAGAGATTTTTTACAAGAATAATTCTTATAAATATCCTCTAGGGATTGATATGCACACTCTTAGACTGTATACTACTTGACACATGTACTTGAGTTGTATGACCCACTTAGTTTCTGGTGAGATTGGCGTGTCAGCTCTCCCATTGGAAGCACACTAAAGTTGACCTTGCACTTGTCTAATTTTCTTTGAAGGCTGATGATCAATCATGCAATGTCACTTCCTCATCAATAATCGGTACACCAGGCCATTCTAAACCAACCCAAGCCTCCCATATTTATAAATATGGCTCCTGTATTTGAGATTGACACCATGGATTCACCAAGGATTGCCTTTCCACTTATATTGTAAGTCTTTATTTAAGTCCACTCTTCAATTTTCCATCATTGCCACTGTTAATTTTCCTCAGTCCACCATTAATCCACCTCACTTAAACAATGGCTATTATCATTCTTATCACCCATCCATATATTTCTCATTTAAACATTCCCATTACATTTCTTGAGTGTGAAAACCAACTTCCCCCTCAAATTCCATTTAATTCATGCAGTTTGAATCACCTCAACCCAAACTGCGAATAGATTCGATCAAGAGCACCAAAGTAGCTTATGGATCTTTAAATTGATGATTATATTATTTTTTGGGACCAAACCAAAGCGAATACAATTGTTGGATAAAAAAGAATCACCTCAGATCAAGATAAGTGTCAAAAAACTAATAGAGGCTTAGTTTGTTGAAGAAAGTGTATATAACTGAATTTTGTAAGAGATATTATTCTAATTGTAACATATTATTTTGGTCGACTATTACTTGAGATTATGATACATCAAAATACTTTTCAATCATCTTTTTGTGACCAAGTGTTAGGACGTTTTTCAACGCCGAACATATTTTTGTCATCTTTTTTTACCAAGCAGTGCAACATATTTTGATCATTTTTTTGCGGCTGAACATCAGAATGCTTTTCAATAGTCTTTGTGAGACTAAGCATCATAACAATATTTGGTCATCT